CTTTTTTTGTTGTTGTAAGTGCATACATGTTTTCATGCCTGTTATTCTGTGTAAATAAGGTGCATTGAACTGTGAATAAATCATCAGTCTCATTAAAACTGGCACAGTTGCCTGTTGTCCCATTTTCTCCCTATGGCTTAAACACCAAATTTAGCTTGGGAGTTGCTTAAATGCTCTTCCACTTTGCTTTACCTTAAATTTGGAAGTTTGTGGTATTTTCAATTAAAAACCATCCACAACAGATAATGCTAGAAATGAACAAAATAGCAGAGTACATACATAATGAGCTGGAAGCAAGCAATAACCAAAATCAAGAAAGAAATGAAACACAAGAAATTGAAACAAACCCCAACCTCAAACAAATATATACGGAAATCAATGAACAAGATCACAACAAACTTCCAAAGTAAATGTACAGTACAGATAAACCCGCAAGAAAGAAATGTACCAAGTGAACAAACAAGAAATCAAACAGGGAACTCAGTTGTTAACAATATAAAAAAAGTATTAATAACTCTGTAATACAAATTGCGCAGATGATCAAAATGGGAGACAAACACAAACTCATACAAAACAAAGAGCAAAAAAAGCATGAATTTGAAAACATGCAAAATAATCTATCAGAAATGCTAACTCTATTAGCATCAACCAAAAAAGATGAGTTGGAAATAGATACGCAACAGAAAATAGAAATCTGCAAGACAAATCAGCAAATATAGTAATATCATCAATTGAAGAAGTAATCAAAAATTGGAATAATATACTGTATGTCCAACTGCCAACACATTCATGGACATTAAATTACCAAATCAACAAAACCAAATGCACAACATACAAATGAACACACAAATACCATCAATAAGTTGGATAACAACACAACATCCTCATACCAACATGTACATACATACAAGACACTCATACACACATAATACAACACAACTAATGACATCAAATAAAAAAACAACAGTTATGTCAAAAACAAATAAGCACTTGGTCTTGAAGTAGAAGAAATGAAGAATCCATTAAAAGAAGAATTTAAAAGATATGGAACAGGAAATTTTATAGATTTTGATGGACAAAACTCACCCCAGTTATGAAGAATTATGGAAAAACAATTCAATTCAAATTTGAAAAGTTCAATTGAAACCCAGAAGATGAACAATCATTCAAAAGAGTGTGGACACAATTCAGATTTATACACAAAGCACCCCAACGCAAACTTGAACCATGAGAAAGAATATCACTATTCCTAATGCACCTAGATGGACAGGCCAAAAAAATTACATACAAAGATACAATACCAAGGAAGAACAAGAGAAAATGATTACTTAGGTATGTTACAAACAGTATTTGATGAGTATGGAAATGTACTAAAAGTAAGGAAACAACTAATACAAGATATAGAAAATTTACCATACCTGAATGGAACACTTAAACAAGCAGCAGAATACATGCAAGACCTAATAGGAATAGTAGTCAAATTAAACAATGTAAGCTCCAATAGAAAAAGAAATCAGCAAGATATATGGCTGTCCTTAGTAAATCACCTAAGACACAAAACATTCTTACAAGCATTAAATAAATCCATTGAAAGATCTTTGGAAGAAACAGATGAAATATTAGAAAAATGGGAAGAATATCCAGAAACAAAATTTATGTGGCTATCCAGTTATTTTGCAGATGAAGCCAAAACAAACACAAATGCAGAAAAATTACTAACATTACCATGTAAGGCACCAAGGCCATGCACACGCAAACCTTCTTTCTCAAAACTCATTTAACTATGTATTCAATTTTCACCTAATAAAGTAAATAAAATTTATTTCACAATGCTGCTGGGAAATTCCTTGGAATTTCCAAGGAATGGAATTTCCATTGTGCAATTAACTCTCTTTGTCCTAAGCTTTTGTTCATTTGTTATTTGTTGTGTTTAGATGCTTTTTATCTTGTGAATTCTACTTGTGTGCATTTTGAAACCTTGATCTTTGCTCTTCTGATTATTGATTGTTCAGTTTTGCTATTCTAATATCAAACTCTTTCTACAAATGAAATTAGGTTTTTAATTGCAGGGCTTTTACCAAAAAACCCCTTGCCATGTTCCTGGCAGATTGTGTGTTTTATTAATTTATCAAAGTCTTAATTCTAATTTTTTGTTGTTGTGGCAAGTGTGCCACAGAATGGGCACATTGAGCATATGATAGCAAATTACAAGCCAAGTGAAATTCAGAAAGCTGCTGGAACAGGATTTTTTTCAGCTGATGCCTCAAAAGACATTAACACCAAAATGTTTGTTTAAAAATATTTTTCCTAGGTGTGAAACGGCTTTTGAGAATTACTGTACATCACATAAATACCTATTCAAGTACACATTTTTATCTGCTCTTAGATTCTAGGGTATTGGTTGAAATTGAACATCTTGAGCTTGCATCTGTGTTTTATTTTCAACCCAGGGATTTCATTTTCTTAAAGACCAGAGAGATGTTGTATTTTTTGCAGCATGAACTTTGCCTAATTTTAGCAGCAGCAAATATTGCACTAATTGTGGATTTTACTTTTTTAATGCCCCAAGAGGAACAATTTTGTTTAATTTCTGCTCCTGTCTCCTGGGAAATTTCATCAGAAAGAATATGCGTGCTGATTTTATCAGCAAAGGACTTTGGGAGAAAAGTTATTTTATGGAAACCGACCTATCTAAAAAAAATAAGAGACTTAGCAAGATTTTACTCAGAACACACATTGTAGAAAACCTCAAGATCTAAAATTTAAGACACTGTGGATTTCTGTATCTCACAAATTGACTGGAATATTTGCTTTGGTATTTTGCAGCAGGATTTATGTCATGTACAACACTTTGCCTTGGACAATTTCCTGGTTTGCAGGACTTGCTTTTTGTGGAAAGAGCCTGTGTGTCTTCATGCTTATTGTGTTGGGTATATAGGAAGTGTGAATTGCGTGAATAAATATCTGTTTCATACTCAGTTTCATCCAACTTGTGTCTCTCATTCCTTCTGCTGATGTAAAGTAACTTAAAGTTGAAAATAGCTAGCCAGCTGCTTAACTGCTTGAGCATTTTGTGTATCTTTGTTCCTGCAGATATTTTTTTCAGAAAACTTATCCGAACAATGAGAGTCAAATCCCTTTATTGAACTCAATGTTTTCCCTCACCAGTATCAGCTGATTATCCTTGAGTCCCAGTCACCTTATACCCCAAGAAACTGGGACAGTGATAAAACCTAAATCACTCAATGAAGAATCCCATTTCCACCATGATAAAATGAAAAAGGGACTTGGACTGGACCTCCAAATTGAGAGAAGGGAGAAGCGGAAAAAGTCATTCACTGGGACATTTGGAACTCTGTCTAGTGCTAAACAACCGCAACAGCAAATTCAATCAGGAAATTCAAATTTATTTTGGCAGGAAAAATTTCCAGAATTGGATTGATTCTTGAAGAATGAATCCAAGTTATTTCTGAAGAAGAAAAAAGGTTTTTGATAGTGGGTTGATCTTTTTTATTATCAACCCCAAAAAAGTGCATTATATTCATATATACATATGTTCATCAACAAAAAAAGTTTACATTTGCATTATACAGACACACAACGCTATCTTAAATGTTTTTAGGTCTTACAATATCATGTATATGATGAATAGTTGCATAATGTGAAGTCAAATTTTCCGAAAATTTGAGTAACGTTCCAAAACGTGACTCAATATAAATGGTCAAATTTCCAGAAAATTTGAGTCACGTTCTGAAACGTGACTTATAAATTTCTTTTTCTTATCAACCACAAAAGTTAACATTAGCATTATACACTCACTAAACACAATATTAAACGTTTTCAGGTCATACAATGTAATGTATATATAATGAGTAGTTGCAAAACTGGAATTTGAATTTTCCAAAAATTTTAGTCGCGTAGTTATCAAACATGACTTACAAATTTGAAGTCCAATTTTCCTAAAATTTGAGTCACGTTCCCAAATGTGACTCATAAATTTCTTTTTCTCATCATTCTACGTTAGCATTATATACAGACTAAAAACGCTATATTAAACGTTTTCAGGTCATACTTTATAAAGTAAATAATGAATACTTGCAAAACTCGATAAAGAATGTTCCAAAAATTTGAGTCAGAAAGTTTTCTTTTATCAACCAAAACAATTAAAATTTTCATTATACACAGTCAGGTGTGGTCAAGGGAAGAGACATCTACCTGCGCGGACTAGAAAAAGTCATGATCACTTTTTACCAAGAAGGTGTTGTATGGTGCTAGTAGGCTCAAGTATGGTGGCGTCCATGGCACCGCTGGTTAGAATCCTATTTCCTTGCAGTTTCTTTTAAGATGTGAACAAATGTGTTTATTATTGTGAACAACTATCCTGTTTATTTTTTTGAATAATTTTGATCATCAGTGATTTGTCAATGATTTGTTATTTTTCCTCTCCAGATTTGTGCGAAATAATGTTCAACTTCACTGACTTTGTGGGTTTGCGCAAATGTTGCACATATGATATTGGCATATCAGAGTATGCGAGGTTTGGTGAATTCATCACAGACATCTTCTTCAAAAAACAAGCATGGATGGATGGAATTTTCAAACTCAAGTGTACTCCAGGATTGATAGAAGCCTTGGACCCCCAGGGTAAAGGAATTGTCTCCTGGACATCTGAAGAAGACGGAACACTGTGGTCACAAATCCGTGAAAAATCTGTGGGGAGAGTGTTGGAGCAGGAACTTGAAAAAGTGCATGAGCGTGGCATCTATGCCAGCTACATGAGTGAATCAAAATGTGACTTGAAGAGTGCACAGGAATTTTTGGACTTGGCCAGGAAAGAAGGATTGATGCATCCCTATTCCCTTGGTCGGGCTGGATGTAATCTCCAACATCCTCCAGAAAGTGACCTGCGGAAAACTGTGAAGCACTCAACTGAAGTTGAGAACTGCAAGCAGTAATGGTCTGCCCTGAGATCAATGCAAATTGGTGAGAAGACACCAAAAATGAAGTATGTGACTGAGATGAGTGTTCCAGAAGTGGATTCTACAAGACTGGATGAAATTCTCAACCAGCAAAAGAGGCCAAGTGATGTAAGTTTACCTCATACTTCATAGCATGTTTCAGCTCCTCAGTACATTTTATTATTATTTAAAATATTTTTAGGTGCATTTCTGTCCTGATCTTGTTGACCTGCCTGGATCTAAGCTTGGTAACTTGTTCAAGAGTTATGATCCACCCCAGGTGATTGAAGGTGTCAGCTCTCCGTTTTTCTTCATGGGAACAAGAGGTTCATCATTCTCAATGCACACCGAGNTTGGTAACTTGTTCAAGAGTTATGATCCACCCCAGGTGATTGAAGGTGTCAGCTCTCCGTTTTTCTTCATGGGAACAAGAGGTTCATCATTCTCAATGCACACCGAGGACATGGACCTCTTTTCCATAAACCTGCATTGGGGTGGATATCGCAAGATTTGGTAAGTTTGATGAAAGTGCATTTTTGTAATTCTTGTATTATAATAATTCCAATAATTGCAGGTACAGCATGGGTGCACGTCAGGTTGCAAAGTATTAAAGCATTGTGGAAATTGCAATTGGCAAAGACTTTCCACAATGTGGCAACCTTCCGCGGCACAAAATCTACATCTTCGATGAAACTTGGTTGGACCATCATTGCTTGATTGCATGTGTGGCAATTCAATGCCCCTACAAATTCATCATCACCACACCAAAAGGACCACATGAAGGGTTCAACACTGGGCTAAACCTAAATGTGGCTGTAAATTATGCAGCCCCACTTTGGGTTGATTATGGTTTGAGGGCAAAGTTCTGCTCTTTTGAAGGGTAAGTTTTCAAGCATGATAAGCCATTTTTTTTACTTATACCTAATGATTCTTTCTTGAATTTGTATTGCAGATCTCATGAGAACAATGTCCGGTTTCCAATGGAACCATTTGTGTGACACTACTTTCCTGTTCCTGATGACAAAACGCCATCAAGTGTTACTGCAGGGCCATCAACTACAACAGATGGTGCTTGTGCAGAATCAATGGACGAGTCATGTTCATCTGACTCCTCAGAGTCCTCAGAAACATGTGAGTATTCCCAAAAAAATCAGGTTGCTTAAAAATTTTTTACGACAAATTTTCCAAAAGTGTGAGTCACGTTCTCAAACGTGACTCACACTTTTGGAAAATTTGTCTTCCATTTTTTACAAATATTTATCTTATACATGATAATGTATACATGCATACATTATATGCATCTTAATATACCTCATATTAATATACCATATTAATATATACCAATAATATAACGCTTCATTGTAATCCTTATTAATATTTATACATTACATGCCCTTCACTATGTCTTCTTCATCAACTTATTTACTTACAGATGAAAATGCCCTTCAAAAGGATGCTGCGGGATTGAACATGCTGGAACCAATGTCATATCTGGCATTGGTTGATGAGAAGAACTTCATCTCCAACCAAGTCGTGCCATTCTTGATTGGGCTGCAATCAAGTGGTGACAAACTGTCAGAAGAACTGCGAAAACAACTGGAGGGTTTGAGAATCACCCTTAACGACCACACTTTAAAAGGACCATATGATGCTGACCCCTTCAAGTACACTCCATCAGATGCTAAGGAGATCCTTGAATGCACTGATGAACAACGTGATGCAATGGACAGGGGATGCCAGATGTATCGTCAAGTGTACGAAGCACACTTCAAGCCCACGGTAGCCTTGTTCCTGAGGCTGTTGAAAGTTGATGCCTTCTACAAGGAGAAGGAGTGGGACTGTGAACTGGTTGACTTGGGGCCGTATCCCCGAAAAGTGACTCCTTGTGCCTCCAAACAGGCACAAAGTGATCATATGGAAGGGAGGCTGAAGTCAATCTTCGATGTGAAAAAAAATCTGGACAACCTTGAATCAATATGTCGAAAGGAAGTCATTGGGCATGACACTGCCCAAGTCATCTATGTTTCCCAAGGATTGTCCATTCGTCTGGATGATCATGAACTCTTCATCATTGCAGTGAGGAATGCGTTAATGATGAAAGTATCACCGTGGACAATAAAGAAAAGTGATGCTGCATCAAACGAAGCAAAATCATCAATTCATGACATCTGCAGAAGGATGTTTTGGCCAGGGCCAACATTCAAAACAATTGTGAACCCTGTCCGCCGAAATATTTTTGGTAAATCAAGTGACAAGATTGATTTCCATCATCAACGTCAAACAACCATGATGAGTGAGTATTGATTATTAATTGATGCCATATAAACTTTTGTCACATGCTTATGATTTGATATTTACAGAATACTTCGAGGCTGTGTACGAGTTTGTGCGGAGGTCGATCCTTGACGAAAAAAAAGCAGAGGGCATCAAGCCCCCATCAATACAACCATACGAAAAAGTAGTGAAGGTCATCACTGAAACCTTGAGGAATAGACTTTCCCACCTCAGAGACAAGGAAAACAATGCCATCCTAACAAAGATAGGAGCAAATGTGAAGTGGTACAGAAGTGTTTGGGCCACAAAAAACCGCGAAAATAAAGTTTTTGAAGATGTTACGGGTACACCTTCAAATCCTGTTAAACGGCCGGTTAAACGCAGACTTCGCGAACTTGACAGTGATGATGATGATGATGATTATGATGATTCTGATAACTGATGTTTTTTTCATGTGTTTTTTTTGGCGTTACTATATGCATTGCTGTGATTGTTATTATGGTTACAGTTTTGTTACTTGTTCTTAATGTTCATAAATTTGTGCCTACTTCTTTACAGTTTTACGACAGTGTGTTTCATTTCATCCATATATAAGTTGTTATCTGTATATATGCACCCATACAATTGTAAATGTAAATTTGCAGTTTCTCAAGCTAGTTTTATTCTCATTTCTCTATCATCAGTACATGCATCAGTATACATGCACAGAAATCATAAAGACACAGAAAATCATAAAGCTGTGAAAAACTTTGATGTCATTCTTCAATCATTCTTTTGTTACAGATGGAAATGGGTTATACTCTAAGTGACAGGGAAGTCAGTGCAATTGTTCGTACAATTAATTTGCGATTTCGGTTCAGAGTTATATCAAGAAACAACAGAAGAAGGAGGGCAAAATTGGCTATACAACAGCTTGAGAAGTGGAGGAGTACAGGAGATTCTTTTACTGTTTCACTGTGTTGCCAATTGAAAGACAACTTGTTGGAAAATGGCGTGTGTGACCTTGATGCTTTTTTCAATCGAGTTGGACTGGTTGACGTGACCAAGTTTCTTGAACATGAAAGGGATTCAATTCATGGCCATGAAAATGAAGATACTGTCAACATAATAGGTCATGCAACAGAATGCGTTGGAGCTTCAACTGCTCTTGAAGAGTTCTGGGAAAATGAACAGTCAATGGAAGGTAAAAAAGAAATTATGAGTCACGTTTGGGAACGTGACTCAAATGTTTGGAAATTTCAGTCACGTTTTGCAACCATTTATACCATTTAATATAAATTGTATGACGTTAAAAACCTTGAATTAAAACCTTGATTAATGCCTATTGTGTCTGTATAATGCAGTTGAGTCTGTTTAATGCAAGTAATGTGAAATTTTGTGGTTTTAAAAGGTAAATGTATGAGTCACGTTCAGGAACGTGACTCATAATTTTTTAAAATTCTTCTTCAAGTTTTCAACTAGTTCTCAAACTTGTTTGCAGTTACTGGCTTGGATTACACTGTACCTCCACTGACGCAAGAATACGTACAACAGGGCCCAGGAAAACAGTGGTCTTTCCTTGAAATACTGCGTCATTGGTCTTCAGCAGATGCAACATCCTTGGATTCCATGACTGACTTGCTTCGTTTACTTAAACACTATAAAGTAACGCTGTCTACTATGGACTACAATCGTAAATGGCCAATGACTGGGAAAACACTTTTGAAGGTTGATGAGAGGCAGTTTGGAGACATATTAATTCGAGACCTACATGACTTCAATGAAGAGAAAAAGGCATTCCTTGGAGAAGCTGAAATTTATAAAGCACATGATAATCTTGAAGGAACCAGTGTGTGTGCTGTCAAACGTTCAGTGCTTGAGCAAAGGAATGTCATCAGTATGCATTTAGCCACTAACAGCCCAATGTATGGAAGTGACTATGATGCAGATGAAGAAGTTGAGAATGACAAAGAAAGTGTTGGTCATGCATCAAGCGATGATGATGCTGAAATTGATTCAGAAGCCATTCAAGTACTTCCTGATGGTGATGACGAAGATATATTTCAACAACCCCAAAAGAAGATGACAGATAATTATGTTGAAGTCATTGAAGCATCAAGGAACCAAAAAATGGCTTACTTTGGGATTAGAAATGCAATTCTAGGACAATCATGTGGTTAGTACTGCATACATACAAGATACAAAATTACTTGATATGAAGTTTAACCATGATTACCTTTCTTGTCTCCAGGACTCATAGATCGGGATGGACACATACGCAATTTAAGGATAATTGCAGATACTGATTGTACAGCTCTGTCTGACAAATTTTTGGGACACCTCCTTCCCAGCTACAGCTCCATGCAGCACAGCATGCAGTCTAAACGGGGGTCATGTCCAACATTCGTCATCGACATATTCATTGATGCTTGTCAGATATTCAACAACTCAAGTGCTCCGAGTGCAACTCCAATATTAGGTCGCCTGATATGTGCAGATGGTCATGTCATCCCTTCAAAGAAGTCAAAGCCATTTGTCATTGGTGTATTCCATGGAGAGGGAAAACCACACCTGGAGGCTTTTTTATTTGACCTCATCAAAGAACTAAATGCACTGAACCCGAAGGTAGAAGAGTTTGGGAAAGATATGCATGTTGCTGTTCGAGCTTTAATCTGTGATGCTGTGGGTCGTTTCTGGGTGAAAGGAACAACATCAAATGCAGGATATTTTTGCTGTGAACGATGTATCTTGAAGTAAGTTGTGGCAAACATTTTCTAAATACTTGTGTGTACTTGAATTTGATATACTTAAATTTAATATATAAAATTTGAGTCACGTCCCCGAACGTGACTTATAATTTTTTCATCTTAAAATACTGTTAAATCTGCATTATACGGCCACTATACACTGTATTGAACGTTTTAAGGTTTTACAATATCATGGATGTTATGAATACTTGCAAAGATGTGAATTAAATTTTCCAAAAATTTGAGTCACGTCCCCGAACGTGACTTATAATTTTTTCATCTTAAAATAATGTTAAATCTGCATTATACGGCCACTATAAACTGTATTGAACGTTTTAAGGTTTTACAATATCATGGATGTTATAAATACTTGCAAAGACGTGAATCAAATTTTCCGAAAATTTGATTCACGTCCCGGAACGTGACTTATAACTTCTTTCCTTTCTTGTCCAATTTTTACAGAGGAGAATACAAGCTGGATACCAACAATACAATAGTTCCTGGATCCCTCCGCTTCATTTCCACTGGCAATGAACCTGACAGACGACCTGATGAATGGCATCAATATCGCCTTGTTCCTGATCTTGTTGAGAGGAATGTGAAAAGTGGGAAAATTGTTGAACGATACCACAGAAGGAGCACAACGCCCTTGGACAAGATTATTGATTTTAGTCCAATAAGTAACATGCCATTAGAGGAAATGCATCTGTGCGACGGTGGTGCTATCCCAGCAACATTGCGCTTACTATTCAACATAAAACCTAAGAAAGAAAAGAAGAAGAAAGCCGTGAAGAAAAGAAGAGTCAAACATGTGAAGAATAAGCCTGCATTGGAAGGCCAAAGGTTATCCCATGTGAGAAGCAAAACACTAAAGCTTGATCATCATTCTACAGCCATGCATGAAGAACTTGAATCTGCTGATGATGAACCCATTACAGATGTCTACAAGTGTTATGAAAATGATCCGGATTATATGCAAAACCATGCTTCAACTTCACACAGCAGTCTTCCTCACGTTGATGCTGAACCATCTCTATCTGATAAGAGGCTGTGGAACACATTAATTTTGAGGTGGAGGAAATTCACACCCAAGATTTTCTCCCGACAGTGCCGAACCTTCAATGCAATGCACTTTTGGAAGATGGCTGAGACAAGACAGTTTTTTTTCTACTACGCCATTCCTTTAGTTGTCATGTCTTCGTCATTTTCAAAGAATAGATTTCATGATTTATTGATGTACATAAAAGGATATCTACTGCTGACTGGGAATCGACATGAACCTGTAAGTCCACCCGTACTGAGAGAGGCAGACCGTCTTCTAAAGGCATTTGTTCAAAACATGCAAAAGAGATCAAGGAATTGGAGCGTCTATAAGTGTCATTCCTTAGCTCACTTGGCGCAAGATGCCCAAATGTTTCAATGTCATCTTGGAAGCCTGTCAGCATATCCGTACGAGAATATGATGCGTATTTTTAAGAAGGTATGTGTAATGTGTATCCCATCAGCAATTGAGTTTGTAATTTCTCTTTCAATTGACCTATATTGCAGCTAGGATCAAGAAGCGGCAAACATGTGGTTCAGCAAATAGTGCGTCGTTTATTAGCTTTGAAGAAATACAGACAGCCAGTCAAGTTTAATGGATGGGAAATGGATGATCATGATGTATCCTACCAAGCTGAATTGGATCGAGTACGTGCAAATGGAAACAAGATGGACTTTCCTCCATTCTTTGTTAAAAGATACGACCCTGTTAAACAAGTTGTGGAGTGTGAAACATTCACTGTGTCATTAAAGTGAGTGTCTAAAGGCTATACACAAATTTATCATTGAATGATACTGTTTAACATATTATGTTAACACTTCAATATTATTCTTTCACAGATACCCAGAAAATATAGTACGCTTGCCAATGTACGATGAGAAGCCGTCAGAGAAGAAACAGGCTTGCTTTGGAGCTATAACAAATTTTTACGAAAATGAAGTGACAGGAGAGCTGATGATTGAGTGTGGTATTTTCAAAACTGTCATGTTGACATTTCAAGCGCCATTTCCATCATCAGACATCGGAAATTTTCGTATCATTGGGGGGCATGATGCTGTGAAACGGCGACACTTTTGTTTTTCAGAGATATTGAAAACTGTTTTTCCTTTTCATACAAAATTTCAAGTTGATAATAGGAAATCGATGCATACTAGTGACGAACACCAGGAATGGATTTTTCAGGAAATTCATCTCTGATGATTTGTATAGAAATGTGCCATACCTGTATAATACGCAGTTTTTTTTTCGGATTCTTCTTGTGAATTTTTTTTACTTGTTGTACAAAAGATTTACGGTATGGTTTTCTTACTTTTTATGTAAAACATTTTTTTGTATTTGAAGTGTATATCTGTTGTATATGTGAAGTGCTGTATAATAAAAAATTTAAACTCAAAAGGCTTGGTGTACTACAAATTTTACATACAAAGTAAATAGTGTATAAGAAATGTTTAATAAAAGTAAGGTTAATCTTAATTGACGTTCTGGGACGTTAAACAAGAAATTTGTTGTAATCATGGCAATATAACGCACACATGCCACAATCAGTTCAGGTGCAAAACATTGTCAAAATAGAAAAATTGTTGTAATCATGGCATTGTAAGCGTTCCATGCGCCAGACACCCTCATTGAAACCAAGGGATTATCCAGGCATAGAACGAGCACATGCCACAATCAGTTCCTTATACTGCCAAAGTTGGCTCGATACATGATTGATGAGGGCGCGACATGGTCTTCATCAAATCCAAGTCCAAGACCCCATCAACCATATACAAAACCAAATCAGTAAAAGGAAGTCCACTGGCATATCAGGTGCAAAACTTTGTCAAATAAGAAAAATCGTTGTAATCATGGCATTGTAAGCATTCCATGCGCCGGACACCCTCATTGAAACCAAGGGATTATCCAGGCATAGAACAAGCACATGCCACAATCAGTTCCTTATACTGCCAAATAAGTTGGCTCGATACATGATCGATGGGGGCAAGACTTGGTCTTCATCAAATCCAAGTCCAATGCCCCATCAACCATATACAAAACCAAATCAGTAAAAGGAAGTCCACTGGCATCAGGTGCAAAACTTTGTCAAACAATAAAAATTGTTGTAATCATGGCATTGTAAGCGTTCCATGCGCCGGACACCCTCATTGAAACCAAGGGATTATCCAGGCATAGAACGAGCACATGCCACAATCAGTTCCTTATACTGCCAAATAAGTTGGCTCGATACATGATCGATGGGGGCAAGACTTGGTCTTCATCAAATCCAAGTCCAATGCCCCATCTACCATATACAAAACCAATTCAGTAAAAGGAAGTCCACTGGCATCGGTCAAATGAAATATTTCATGTAATAAACTTCAAATAACCCCTAAACGTATTAAAAGGACATTTCAAGCGTTTAAGTTAAGTCATGTATGGGTAACAGGTAGTTCAAAGTATGGTTAATCTTAATTGACGTTCTGGGACGTGAAACAAGGTAAAAAAATTTGATGCAATTATCACAAAATATTTCATGTAATAAACTTCAAATAACCCCTAAACGTATGAAAAGGACATTTCAAGCGTTTAAGTCAAGTCATGTATGAGTAACACGTAGTTAAAAGTATGGTTAATCTTAATTGACGTTCTGGGACGTGAAACAAAAAATTTGTTGTAATCATGGCAATAGAACGCACACATGCCACAATCAGTTCCTTATACTGCCAAATAAGTTGGCTCGATACATGATCGATGGGGGCAGGACTTGGTCTTCATCAAATCCAAGTCCAATGCCCCATCAACCATATACAAAACCAAATCAGTAAAAGGAAGTCCACTGGCATCAGGTGCAAAACTTTGTCAAACAAGAAAAATTGTTGTAATCATGGCATTGTAAGCGTTCCATGCGATGGATGACACCCTCATTGAAACCAAGGGTATATCCATGCATAGAACACACACATGTCAAAATCAGTTCAGGTGCACAAATGTAACAGCAATTTAACAATCACCAGAGTCCAGAATCCAACGACAATAGGAAAACGTCCGACTCCAACCCCAGGATCTTTCAGTATGCATTTTTGCTGAAAATTCGCACCCTTTTTATTCGAGCAAAGCACTGGGTCACCACTTTCGGAGAATGGGTAACTCAAGGACGTGGGGGATTTTCTTCCACCATTTGTAAAAATTAAAAGTCAAAGAAACGAGCCGACTCGTAATTTAATCTGCGCATCATAGGATGCGCCCAAAGAAAACAGGAAGATAAGGGAATCCTCAGAACTGGGGTGCCGCGAAAATAAGATATAGCTGAGAAATCGGCGACACAAAACTGTACAATAGAAGAAAAGAACAACCCCCAGAATTGGGGTGAAACAATTGATGAATCGGCGCCTGTATCTCCCCGGAAAAGCCCCAGAACTAAGGTGCCGCGAAAATAAGATATAGCTGAGAAATCGGCGACACAAAACTGCACAATGGAAGAAAAGAACAACCCCCAGAATTTGGGTGAAACAATTGATGAATCGGCGCCTTTATCTCCCCTGAAAACGACCTCCCCTTCTCTTTTCTTTTTTGTTGCTAGATGGGCAAAGTCATTTAACCCAGGCTTAAAAGCACAGGACCATCTGCTGGTAATGTGTGCAAAAATCCCCCCCTGCTGTTTTTCTCTAGTAAAACAATTTATCTCCCGAAGTTGGGACTCCTTTAGCTGTCACCAGCTGGTCTTCAATGCTGCTGGGTAAGATTTTTTAAATTTCCAAAGTCATGCTCAATACAAGGACTCTGTTTTTCTGTCTAGAAGACAATCCAACAGGATACCAAAAAATTGTAAGAGAGAATTACAGAGAATACATTTTAATTTTGAAAGTTGTGAACTTCTTTCTGATTAACGTTCCAGAACGTCAAATAAGATGCGCCTTAATTTCAACTAAGTCTTCCACCCACATTAATGCACTATAATGCTTGGAAAGACCTTTGAATATGTTCAAAGGCTATTTGAAGTGTATTAAACATAAAACATGTTAATTATTCAATTTGTTACAAACTTTTTTACGTTTAACGTTCCCGAACGTCAAATAAGATTTGACTTAATTTCAACTAAGTCTTGATAAAGGAGGTATACATTTTGCGGTGCCAAAATCCAGAGTGTTCATAAAAAAAAACTGTTGGTGAAGAAGGTCATGGAGAATATTGAATAAATATTTCAGGCGTGACATGAAATATTTTAATTCATTTGAAATCTTTCATCTTTTACACTAGTGCAGGCCAGATTTTGATGAAAACGTTAGATTGAAAACTAACTTATATAGGTAAAAGATTTGGATACCAGGTGTATCACCATACATGAATAGAAAAAATTTATAACTATATATATAAAAAACAATAATAAATTATTACAGCTTCAAAATACATGCAAACATATATACTTCAGCAATCAAAATGGTTTATATGTTCAGTGATGAACAACATCACGTCAGGGTCCCAAACAAATGATGGTGTTGATTTTCCTGTACATGCAGATATTAGCTTTCAAGGAGTGTAAAGCAATACACTATATACACCACATGGGCAGTAAACCAATATCCCTGTAAAAGAGGTATAGAGAAAAAGCGCGCGCGCCCAAAAACCAGCAGTTCCTAAAGCAAATTGACGACAAAAAAAAACAAATTTGGGCCAATTGAAATGAACACTTGGAAAAGGGACACTTCCCTAGCTTATATAGCCCGCATATTGCTCACAAACCTTCATTCCTATATCGACTCTTTAGTTCTTGAAAAAATTGAAAAGTTCAACAATATGCAGCAGCTGCGCATTAAGAAATAACTACAATTATATAAACATTAATATTTGTTTCATTATTGCAGTTCTGAAGTTATAGAAATATAAATATTCGTATAAAATTACATTGTATACAAGTTATGTGGATATAATGTACAGTGTACATCTAATAGTCATTAACTTTTGCTTGCTTTCTGCATGTATCCTCTCATTTTCAATTATATTTCATGTATAATGATATCCTTTCTTATTTTCCAGTGCTTCATACATATACGTGAGAACGTCATTGGAAAATTTGTGCAAGCAGCTTCAGGAAAGTCTCCATACTGAAGCAGGAAAAGTATGTTGATTTTTAACGAATTAAAAAACATGTCATTTGTAGTATTTATTTTACAAATTTTCCCAGGTGATAACCGGAAGTGGAAGACGACCTTACTGCTGAAGAATATATCTTACAATAGGAAAAAGTCACTGCTGCCAAGAACCAAAAGGAAGATGTTCAAAGTTGATGATGTTAATGATGTATGGGATTTGATACTATCCTACAAACATTGTGGGGAAAACATGGTGTACAGCGGATGGAATAGAGAGATCAGCTACTATTTCTTCAAGTGCAGAAATGTGAATTGCTCTTATAAAATTACTGTTGCTGAAGACATGTATTTTGATGATTAAATATTTCATACTTGTGTATGAAGTGAGATATGGACATCCATTGGCATTTCTTCATTTCTTCCACTTGTACAAGCCACACATACTCTTCATAAATTTTTCAAATCTCATGAATAACACTTTCATCAATCATTATACGTGATACTTTGGACAAATTTACTTCACACAAGGATTCTGAATGGAGAATTTCGTCCATGATATGAATAAACGCAAGAACATGTATATGGTGAATAATTAACAATTTTTCAATGATAATACATTTGCATTCATTCCCATTCATGTAGTTAATGAAGATTGCCATCAGCAAGGCAAGAAAAGTTTAAAACTAATTCTCCACAAAAGAAAGTTATCAAATAATGCTACATCAGTAATACAATCCTTTGGCCAAACTTCATGGGTCTGCTTTGACCGTTTCTATTTCACCTTCTCCATTCCTTAAAGGACCCGCTTTGATGGCTTCTATTTAAAAATTTCTCCATTCCGCGCCAATTTTACTTGGCAACTAGCTTTCCTGCTAAATGACACCCACCCCATTGGTGTGGTTGGGGAGGTTTTGCTTTTCTTGCTTACACCCCACCCCTGTGTGGATGAGGATGTTTTGCTTATTAGGTTACAAGGTTTATTGCTGGGGTGAAGTTGCACCCAATATGTCAGCCACCCTTGTTTTTGCCAAATCCGATGCACAGAAGGTTTTTGCACACAAGCAAGTGATACTTGTTCACGTCACTGACGTGACCAAGTCGAGTCATTCCTTGAGGCGTTAAGCCGCGTGCATTGCCTCATTGAAAAGTTTCCATTATTGATAAGATATTTTATACAGTGTGTTAATTCATTCATGTTTAAAAAGTGTGTACATGTGCTTTCCATTGTGTTTTTACAGGAAAATCCCGTTACAAACTTAAGGTGTCATATTATCTTACAGAGAATACTTTTTAATTTTTAAATTTGTGAACTTTTTTCTGATTAACGTTCCAGAACGTCAAATAGGATTTGCCTTAATTTCAACTAAGTCTTCCACCTACATTAATGCACTATAATTCTTGGAAAGACCTTTGAATACTTTCAAAGGCTATTTAAAGTGTATTAAACATAAAACGTGTTAATTATTCAATTTGTAACAAACTTTTTTACGTTTAACGTTCCCGAACGTCAAATAAGATTTGCCTTAATTTCGACTGAGTCATGATAAAGGAGATATTTTATAAGATATTTTATACAGTGTGTTAATTCATTCATGTTTAAAAATTGCGTACATGTGCTTTCCATTGTGTTTTTACAGGAAAATCCCGTTACAAACTGAAGGTGTCATATTATCTTCCAATAAAAAATCAAACATGTCTTCTGAGGCAAATGATATTTCTTCAATGAATGAAGATTATGTTAGTGTTTTCAGTGACGACATGAACAAAACTGTCACTGAAGGCTTAGTCTTAGATGATGGTACTGTAGTCATAGAAGATAAAATGGAGTGCTTCTTAACATTCAAAAAATACTACAACCCGCAGTATATTGGGAATTTCACGGTAAGTTTTTATTAACCTTTTTATGCAAGATGTTATTTTTCATAAGACACATTTATATGAACAGGGACAAGGAGTGGACGGAAATCTGGACGTTCTTTATGAACGTGGGTCAAGTGAGCCTAATTGGCGAGGTAGATACACTGAAGGGATGAAGCCAATCAGGCTACCACTACTTTATGCCTCAATTGAATCATATGCCACCTTATTCAAATTATGCATATGTAAGTACATAACAGGATTAATGTATATTAAACAAATGCAGTATATAATCATGATTAATACTTTTTTTCGTTTCCTTATCCTAATATAGGTACGCTCCCAATTACCTTAATATCCGAGTGTGGGAAATATGCATTGTATCCTCAACCGAAAAAAAACCGAGGGAAGGATTCCAAGCATCGGGAACCAGATCTCTCCAAGCCCTGGGATAACCTCTCGGATTATGATGAACATTTACCCATCACCAAACCAAGGATTCAAGACAGGAGCTATGTTGAGGTCAAAATTAAGCGCTTCCTTGTGAATGGATATGTCAGTAAGTACTTAAATAATTTTTGTATCTCTCGGATTATGATGAACATTTACCCATCACCAAACCAAGGATTCAAGACAGGAGCTATGTTGAGGTCAAAATTAAGCGCTTCCTTGTGAATGGATATGTCAGTAAGTACTTAAATAATTTTTTTACTATGTACATTCAAAGAGATGGCTGTGGCAGCCGGTATCTACATTGTATGTCAAATGTAATTGACGTCCCGAAACGTCAAGTGAAAGATGAAATTTTATTTGACGTTCTGGAACGTCAAATACAATAATGAATTATATTGGGCATTCCAGAATGTCACATAATAAAAAACTTTTATGTTTTTACTTTCCACATGTAATGAAATCTTTTCATGAAATTTTTTATTACATATGTTATCTTTGACTTTTTTTTAACATTTCATTTCATACTGTTCTTCTCTTTCCTATACAGATCGTTTCTGCAAAAGGCAAAATAGGGCTGCCTTTAAACAAGTTGGACCTAAGGTGTACAGCCACCTCATCGGCAGTGACATGGATACTACAGAATTGGAAGAAGAGAGGAAAATGTTAGTATTAAATACTTCTTATTTATTTGGAATGCAATTGCTTATTCAAATTTGTATACTTTGTTGACTCTACAGCATTGCATCATACATGACAAGAACAATGCAAGAAACAAATCGGAGTAAACGAATGCAGAACGACAAAACCTCTGATGGGAATCAACATGAAATTAACAATCTTGAGTCGTCTCCATCACCGGCAAAGAGGCACCAAAGGAAGCAACCAACGCCTACAAGAAGAAAGACAAGTAATGAGGAAAATTTCAACCAAGCAAATAAACAAGGATTCCGGAATCAAGCATTAGACTTCATGAATCCTCAACAAGCGTTGACAATCCCAGCAGCACCAGCTCGATTGCATCAACATGCTATTGAGAGTAATAACACATACTCAAAGAATGTGTATGCTGAAAATTCTGGCAATGTACGTCAAGAGCTTCAGCAACACAACCATCATGAAGCAGGCATTCAGCAAACTGCTTTTGCTGAATCAGATGAGAGTGAACCCCACTTGTTGGATATTTCTTCATCAAGTCAAAGAAGCATAACATGTGATGGGCTAGCAAGCCACTTGCAAAGCATGTACAACGCTGGTACCTCTGACACAGCATTCTATCAAAGTCAATTAAGTGGTCAGGAGGCTCATGAAGTTATGCTAAGTCAAACAGGTGCTCGTGACGAAGAACATGGGGGAGATTTCCTTCCCACAACGTATGAACCAAGGGCATATAATTGCCCATCCCCAGGTTTACCAAATAAGTCATCACATCATGTTGAGGCTGCTGCAGGATTTCGCGATCAAGGCCACAATACGGAAACATCAAACCATACATCTGCTGCAATCAGGAACTTACGTGCAAACTTTGCAGTATTTGATGAAGAAGTGAACGAGGATATGATGGACCATGGTATGTTAATGTATTTCTTGTATTACTACAAATTATTACAAAAAAGTACATTGTATTTTTTAAACATTTTAATTTTTCTTTTCTTAGTAGAAATTATTAACAAAAATCACACTGTACTTTTTTTATTTCAGCAAGTCTCCTGGCATTTACCAAAAACATGCGCAGAAAAGGGAAGGAGCTGTTGAACCTAGCATTTGGACGCCAATTAGCTGCTACCTCTGAGGAAAGCAATGAAGCAAAAGGTTTGATAAAATGATGAAGTATACACATGCTGAGTGAATTTTCATGAATATTAAAATGATATTTTTGCAGATACATCCCAGAGGGTCAAATGGATACAGAAGATGTTGGAGGATCACCTCAACCTCACCCCACCACCGAAGAACCCTCTGCAAGCAGCTTTAGGACGTGATGTGAAACTTCCACTGGAGAATTGGGATGCAGTCCTGATTTTGAATAATCTTCTAAAAGAAAGTCTCAAGGACTCAAACAAGAACAAACTGTTTGATGAGACGGTACTTGTAAAAATTTTTCAAGTGTGATTTTCAGTGTATGATTTTATTAACGATTTAAATAATATGCACTTAATTGACGTTTGGAAACGTCAATTAAGATTAAAAACGTATTTGACGTTCTGAAACGTCAAACAACGTCAATTAAGATTAAAAACTTATTTGACGTTTGGAAACGTCAAATAAGAGTAAAAACTTATTTGAAATTTAGGAGATTGATATCTTATTTGACGTATTAATATGCATGCAGGTTTCCTACTACGTCAGGATTGGGAAGAAATGTTGCGGCAACCTTCAAGTCAGGAAGTACCCCAGCACAAAGATGGTTGCAAAGTACGTCATTGACACGTTAAGTGAGAAAATGGGTGACAAACATGTGGTTGTTGCAGTCGGTGATCTACTATTCTCACCTGAGTATGTATAAAATCAATAATTGATTATGTACTTATACTTGTGCTGATGACATTTGTAATTATTACTCTGTATATATAGATGCAGAAAACAGTTTCTTCTTGAGGATAGAACAAAGAGATTCCTGACAGACAGTCTACATGATCTGAAGGCTGAAGCAAATTCTGTTTACCATCTACTGGCATGTGAGTAAACAAAGCTTATTGTGATGTTTTACAATACAGTACTAGAGATTAATAATATCAATAAAACTTTTTATGTAGCTGTGGCAAAGAAGTTTGTGGAATGTACACAGCTCTGCCACCGGGAAGAGCATAATGTACTGGCGTACCAAGAAAAATGGGGAAAATTCTTCAGTGAATGGCACCGCAAAGGAAAGCACATAGTAAAAAGCAATACAAATATTAAGAAAAAACCTGCTGTGGCTCAATGGGATGATGATGATGAGGAATATGAAGATATGATGGACACTCCAGAAGAAGAAGAAAACTCGCCTCAAGATTCTGAAACTTATGTTCCTGCTTCTCAAGAGGTTTATACTTCTATGCACAGAAGCAGTAGACAGGGAAGACCTTCACGCAGAAATCAAGGCGGGTCACGGCGTATATCACGGCGTGGTGTGAAGTGCAGAATTTCGGGGTTGAACTGAATTGTGAATAAATATGGTTGTGAATATGAAATGTGAATAAATATGGTTGTGAATATGCATTCAAAAACAAAAGAGTTTATGTCATTCTTTGTACTGTACAAGTATGTACATATACATTAAAAACATACAGGTCATTGCCAAAAATATTCATTCCACAGCAATGAAGGTATATATGTGTAATGAAATCAGAAGCATTCAATTTGAACATATACTCTGAATCTTATGTAGGATACATGATAACATCAACAAATCAATGCAATATTCCACCACAATAAATCTGACTACAGCAAGAAATCAACAATGAACAAGCAACAATACACTAATAATCTAACAGTATAATACCATAGACCTGCGCCGATCCATACATTGCTGTACGTTTGGCGCAGTTGTTATGGCCGTGGGCTCCGAGTTGTGGGGTCCCGGTTCGAATCCCCGTGCGGGTCGCTTGTTTATTCATGTCTTTGTATGTGTGTGTGTGTGTGTGTGTGTGCGTTTGTATATGTGTGTATCTATCTGCCTGTACTGTTGAATGTGAGTGTGTGCGAATGCCCTGTCCATTGCAATTATCCCGAATTCCAAATTTTTTAATTTTTCAAATTCTTATTTGACGTTTGGGAACGTCAAATAAGGTCACAAACTTATTTGACGTTTGAGCACGTCAAATAAGAGTAGAAACTTGTTTGACGTTTGAGCACGTCAAATAAGATTTGAAACTTGATTGACATTTGAGCACGTCAAATAAGATTAAAAACTTGTTTGACGTTTGAGCACGTCAAATAAGATTAAAATCTTGTTTGACGTTTGAGCACGTCAAATAAAATTTAAAACTTGATTGACGTTTGGGCACGTCAAATAAGATCAAAAATCTGTTTGACGTTTGGGCACGTCAAATAAGATTAAAAAGTTATTTGACGTTCGGAAACGTCAAATATATCAAAACTTGTTTGACGTTTGAGCACGTCAAATAAGTGCAAAATATTGATTGACGTTTCGAAACGTCAAATAAAATTTGAAACTTGATTGACGTTTGAGCACGTCAAATAAGATTAAAAACTTGTTTGACGTTTGAGCACGTCAAATAAGATTAAAAACTTGTGTGACGTTTGAGCACGTCAAATAAGATTAAAAACTTGTTTGACGTTTGAGCACGTCAAATGAGATCAAAAACTTGTTTGACGTTTGGGAACGTCAAACAAGTTCTTGATCTTATTTGACGTTCTCAAACGTCAAATTCAATTTTTTTTAACCCTTTTTACACACTTCATTCACTAAATCCACTCCATTTCAATACCATTCCCTATTCAAAACAATAATTTACAATCATTCATTAGGTTCATGCTCTTTTCTCATTCACCCTCAATGACGCGTCAGCGACGCGTCAGAATTTGACGTGAGTTTACTCACGTCAAGTCAACGCCCATATGCGTGCGTCGAATTCAGCGTCAATATGCTGGTACACCAGCCATGAAAATCGACGTGGGTAAATATGAACTTTTTAGACGCGTCATTGACGCAATTCTTGACGCTGTTTGGTTTTCCTGGGGACTCTTGGTGGGCGTCAAACTAGGGTCACTGAAACCCATCTGTTGTTGAGTCAGCGAATATGAGACAATCACGGGGGTATATATGCAAGACAATCGAATCTGTGATGGCAAATAAATATGCAAATTAGGTGAAAGCGCTCAATGCACATATTCGAGATTTTAACAACGAGTGCTATAAGAACAATTGATCATTCAGGATTTTTGTTGAATATGTTGCACATTTTAATAAATTACGTTTTGAATCGAAAATAATTTTGGAAGGCTGTCACAAAGGCTCGAGGGGTTTGAGATGCAAATGAATGAAGCCATTATCTGGAACTTTTCTTCCATCTCTCACGTATTAATTGCAAACATCAATTCATTCATTGCATTTTTTCTCACATCAGCTTGAACCAATAGCATTTACTTTTGTCAAGTTTTTTCAATTAATGCTAAATTGCCATATTTACTGGAGTACCACATCCCCTCAAGAAAGATGTTCACCAGGGGTTTTCCCGTTCAAGATTTTGATGAAATTGTTTCTCTGAGCAAGGTGCGTGCTTCAGTTTTAGTGACTCAAAAACTGTAATGTTCTAAAAATGAAAGCACCCAAATTTTAATTTAGACATGAATTGAACCACAATTCGACTACTTTTCAATTTTTCTATTTCAGTACTGTTTCTTTTAAAATTGGTTCAATATTTTGAACTAGAATCAATTACAATGTATTGCACACGTAAATTACTGAAACTTTTCGAAAAATGTGTATCTGCCCATAACAAGCATGCACCTTATTTCTCTTCTGAATTTCGAGAAAAAGGTTCTTGTGGTACTTCAGTGAATATGGTATTATTGTCAATTATTATACCAGCCATCTACTGAGACGGTAAAAAATACAGCACTATATATAATGCAGAGAAAGATGAGGTTGCATTAAATCCCTAATTTAGACAAAGTTTCATTCTGATTGGCTGGAGTTTTCAAAATACTTTGCGGACTGTTCTGCAAATTTTTTTTGCACTGTAAAAAATTTGGGTGCGCATCCAACCACGAGAAATGTTTTCAAAAAGGATTCATTTCAAGTTTGCTAAAAGCCATGTCACAAATTTTGAAAAAAAAAACACCCTTTCCTGGAAATTTCTTCTTTTTCTTCCCTTGGTTTCTTCTTTTTAGTAAAGGTCGGTACACTTCGGTGACTTCTCTGCCTAATCGTGGATTTTCTTTTAAAACTTGTGACCCATAATCAGCCATTTAAATTTTAAAAATATCTGAATTTCATCACTTTATAGTCTATACTAAACAGCTGAAAAATCGGTGAAATTCTAAGTGGTATAGTGGTGGGAAAAACACTTTCGAGAAAACATGCCCTTTCATCCACGGAATCGCAATCGAAACTGCTGCCCATTTTCTTTTTTTTTCTTTTTTTTTTTGCTCGTCCAGCATCAGAAGCAGGTGGAAATCAAACAAGTCCCTGCATATGTTTGGCGAACGAAAAGGGAGAAAAAACATTCACACGATGGAGTTCTTCATACAATAATATAGCAATCGGGGAGAGAAAACAAAAAAAAGATGCAAGAAACAAATGATCACAATGTTCATCCGAGGGTCGTGTAACATAGTACTGTACATAGAGGTCAATATTTTTTTCGATTCGTTGCGATTTTGCATTCCGTGGGCGGGAAAAGTCGAGAATTTTTTCGCTGATTTTTTTTTGGCTGCTGTTGTTGTTGTACTGTAGTTCGTCCATTGTTCATATGTATATATCGTGACACACCCCGTGTTATTCGCCAACGCCCACGTTCATTTCCAGACGCGGCATCCTGTAATTTTTCACCGCGTCTAATAAAGCCTCGCGTCAACGATGAACCCGCCTCAAATCACTATCACATTTCGCATGAGAGCCTCTTGAGTCTTGACTGGATATGACGTGATGAACATGGAAGGAGGGGGGAGTAAATCCCGGCTCCAACTGGAGATCTCTCTGCTGTTTCCTTCAAATTTTCAAATTTCAGAAAATTGAAAGCACAAATTTGTCAAGGATTTCCGAAATTTCCAGCTAATCAGCTTTGAATTGATAATTGCATGCAAAAAAAAACGTATACAGGTGCTGGTGCCCATAAATTTGACCCTAATACATTGCTGGGTCAAATTTCAAAGCAGTCAAATTTCAAAGCAAAATCAAATGCAATGATTTCTTGATTGTATTTGACATTTTTGTCCATCTCTGTGGATCAAATTCCAAGTCATAGGTCAGATCGCAAGTTGATCTCCCAGCATATTCAACCATTAAATTGAGGGGATTTTTGAATTTTGGGAGGTCAAATTGTGAGGTACCACCTGTAAAATAAAACCTTTTTCAGGGTTATTGTGGTATTTTTTTAGTCTGGAACAGATTAAATATTTGTCAATATTAATTCAAACTAAAATTATTTTACACATAAGAAAATGTGAAGGCTGTGGAATTTACCACAACAGAATCATTTTCAAAATATATCACTGTACAGCTAGTGCTCTGTAATAATACGCATTCAGTATCAATAAATAATGACAGAATAAATCATGAATAAGTCTACTATTTTTTAAATAATTTTTTAATGTACTGATGGAAGCAGCACATAAGATCCCATTTTCTGATGCCTCAAACTACACACAAGATCCTGAAAGGAGCACTTCATCATAGTAAAAAAAAGTCTGTTTGTCAATCATTGTTCGACCTTTATCTGAATTCCCTCCCGAACATTTTATTATGGACCTCCCCATTTAAAAAACTTTCTACTCAACCCTCTGATGACTCATAATTCTCTGAAGCTGTTTGAGCTATTATTTTTTGGACCCAGGAAAGAGAAGTGCAATATGAATATAATGATGATTTTCAGAAGGAAATGAAAGACTAATTGGAAAATGAACTCTTGCCTCAATGTTTGTGACCCTGTAAACGTATTTACCTCGAAATTGAAGACATAGCTAATTGCCGATTTCAACTTCCTGAGATTCTCAATTTTTCTCTGAAAAAAAATGCAAGGATCCACAATACAAAAGCCACACTTTTTGATGGTCCCCTAGAGTTTAACTCAAAAAGATTCAAATGTACAAGGTTTCTGGTGTTTGTCATCTGAGGGAATGAGTGATTTTACAACCAAACTCGACATCCAATCAGTGTTTTATGCCCCCCCCCCTCCCCCCACACAATCCAGCTGTCAACTTTTTTGTGCGACTTTACCAACATTAAATTTATGGAAAACAGTTTCCCCAATCATCGAAATATTCAAAAAGGAATACGAAATATCGTCTGAAGAATCATTTTGCGTTCGTCGCATCTATTATTGCGCAAAATAAAAATCATATTTTTGACTTCACTATTATATTAGCCACACCTGTTGAAAAATCTCTTGGCTGTCCTTTATGCCCCCCCTAGAAGGAATTCGATTCATTAACAATTCCATTCCGTGGCTGCATGGACGCGAATAAATGTGGGTCCTTTCGACTCGGCGCATTTCCTCGTGTTCGTCCGTGCTGTGCTGTTAGTCAAATTGTGACCTAAATGTGGCAATGAATGCCTTGGCATGCTTCATCCTACTGTAGTTGATCTGATTTATGCTAACTCTTAGTAAAACTGCTGCTGAACACTAGCTGATACATTATTGGTTTCAAGTAATAAATTTCAGGCAGGTGATGTCCGCTTCCAGACAAGGAGAATCTAATCTGAAAAGTGATTGGACATGGGCTTTGAGTCGAATCTGACACAACTGTCGCACACATTTGATATAAAATTATGCGAGAGACTCTAATCACCACATTCAATTGTGTAAAACGTGCTCATTTTTTGCGCAAAAAAATTTGGTGGCACAATACATAGGCAAGTAGGAATTTATAAGGAAAATTATTGTTGAGTTTTTATCCTACTTGAATAACTCGGGAGCAAAGTTCTAACCGATATTCAAAATACAAATGTTCATTTCCAAACGAAATTCAGAATTCAGCCTTATGTTCAAGTGGAATTCAAGTGGTTTTGAATCAATTTTCACTTCAGCAAAAAATGCATGTGAGACTTTGAAATGTTTCAAAGTACTGCTTTTGAAAAATATACAGGTGGAACCTCAAAATTTGACCTCCTGCAATTGAACCATCATCCAATTTGACTGTCAAATTTGCTAGGAGTTTGACCCTCAATTAAACCTCTGCCATGCAATTTGACCCATGGAAAGACATGAAATGTTGAATCCCATGTAGAAAACATCCCATTTGACATTGTCTTGCAATTTGACCCTATAGTCCAGCAATGGATTAGGGTCAAATTGCAAGGTGCCACCTGTACAAAGTTGTTCAATGGGGGATTGAGGTTATTGATCATTGGATTTATCACAGGAAAAATGCATTTAAATTGGTGGATAGTATGTTCAACTGCACTTAAGTGTTGCCAGATGATCTGGCTATGCTGCAATTGAAAGCATTTCATTTGATTGTTGAAACTCCATAATGGGTCTATATACATAAAAAAGTTGCCCAACTTATCAAACAACCCTTTAATTTTTTTTGCAAAGTCCCCAAAACGTCCCTCAGTCAAATTTTTTTCCTGGTCCCTTGAAATTTGACTTACAGAGGTTTGCCTGTAACTGTTTTTCACAATGCATCCATTTTTTGTTTCATTACCTTCATATTTATCTAGAAAATATAGACATTGGAAATGTGGTGGTCCTCCCTGTAATTTAATGAAACTGAAAAATGTTGGCAGGATTATCGCAAAACGAGGAAAATATGTAGTGAAGTCATGTTTGAAGTGGAACTCAGTCAAAGCAGTAGTGAAACATAAGCCTGGATCGGTTAAATTCACCATTAAGCTCAAGTTATTCCGAGGGCAAATACTGTGCATAGGTATTTCTCTAATATTCCAGATATCATGCATTTCTTCCATATAGTGTCAGTAGCTGAATAACGAATTTTTACACACGTTGAAAAATAAAATGCTAGCAAAACACAGCCTTCAACTTTCAGTTCTGACCCCGCGGAGAGAAGCTGGTAATGTATCTTTTTCCTGCGTTGTTATTCGGAGTTTGAATGCATTGGCCTTCC